AGTCCTGCATACTCAGTTTAGGAGATAAAATAACACGTGATCTCACTGTTATACAATCCATTTTGAAAAAGTGCTAGTTTTGACAATACAGTAACATGACTGCACATTACTACGGAAAAAGATACAAAAGTATTTTAACATTCCCAGGTGAAATTCTCTCTTATCCTCTCAATACTTTTCACTTAAGATTAAGTCTCACACATTGAGAGGTAATTATATCACCATTCACTATAGTTCTAAGTTAGCATTAAAAATCAAGAACAAAAGTACACAATTACCACTCTGATAACATTGCTGCTTTGTACAAAGAGAAAACCTGGGTGGCAGGATCACATTCCAAGTGAAGCAGCTCACTCTTCACTTGAGGAAAAAAAACCATATATTTAAAAAAAGTACTTCTTATTTTCAATCAATACATGAATTTTTGCTTAAAGGCAGATGCCTCTTTGAACAAACTATGGTAAAGCATAAATTGAGCAAATAATGAAAAACTAGGTTCACATAAATTTAAAAAAAAATTTTTTTTGGATATTTTATTTACATTTCAGATGTAATCCCCTTTCCCCATTTCCCCCCACCCAGGAACTCCCTATCCCATTTTCCCTCCTCCTGCTTCAATGAGGATATGCCTCCACCCACCCTCCCACTCCCACCTCCCCACCCACGATTTCCCCCACATTGGGGCATTCAGTCTTCACTGGACCAAGGACTTCCTCACCCACCTATGCCTGACACTGTCATCCTCCTTTATATATTCAGCTGGGGCCACGGGTCCTCCCTAAGTGCTCCCAGGCTGGTGGTTTAGACCCTGATTGGTATTGTTGCTCTCCCCATGGGGCCGCAAACCCTTTCAGCTCCTTCAGTCTTCTCTCTTACTCCTCCATTGGGAACCCTATGATCAGTTCAATCGTTAGCTGTGAGCATCCACCTCTGTATATTTCAGGCTTTGGCAACCTCTAAGGACACAGCTATAGCAGGCTCCCCTGTCAGCATGCACTTCCTGGCATCCACAGCAGCATCTACCTTTGGTGACTGTACAAGGGATGATACCCAGGTGGAGCACTCTCTGGACGGCTCCTCCTCCAGTTTCTGTCCCACGCTTTGTCTCCATATTTGCTTCCATGAGTATTTTGTTACCCCTTCTAAGAAGGGTCAAAGCACCCACACTTTTGGTCTTCCTTGCTCATGAGCTTCATGTGGTCTGTGAGTTGTATCTTGGATATTGCGAGCTTTTGGGCTAATATCCAATTATCAGTGAGTGCATGCCATGTGTGTTCTTTTGTGATTGAGTTACCTCACTCAGGATATTTTCTAGTTCCATCCATTTACCTAAGAATTTCTCAAATTCATTGTTTTTAATAGCTAAGTGATAAAAAGAGTGATAAAAATCTTCCTTTTTTTTAAACTATCTAGAAGGCATATGTCTAACAAATTTCAAACACAGCAAGACTGAGTAAATGTATTGAAACATCTGTGCTCTAAGTTCCAGGAAGACAAAAATATTTCCTAGACTAGAAAGAATGTTTTCCAAATAATTCAGTAGAATAGAAATTTATCTCAACTAAAGTCACAAGAATACAAGCAGCAAAAAATAGGATTCCTTTTTGAGAATACTAAAAAATCCTGTAGCCTAAATTATGATTGAGAAAAATTAAAAGGTCTCGTCAAACAATGTTTCTAATTACCTCAACCAGATACCTTACTTTAGACAAAGCTGAGACAGATGATTAAGTACAGAGTGGCAGAATCCAAAGGAAACAATCTAGACTTTAAGAGACTATAACTTTCTATTGTAATAGTTAGATGGCAAAACCTGAGATATTTTTGAAAGTCTTTTAAATTTAACTATAAAGTGCTCTACAATACAAAGTCTGTTAATTAGAAAACAAAAATAACCTTTTAAATGCAATGTTGGCTCAATAAGAAAATGGAATTTTTCCTATCCCCAGGGCAAGGTCACATGTATTTCAGGCTGGCTTCAAGCCCACTATGTAGCTAAGGATAACCTGGAACTCCTGGCCCTCCTTCCCTTTCCTCTACTGCTAGGGCTACAGGGATGTACAGCATACCTGGCTTTTCTTGTTTGTAGAAAAAAGTATTTGGAAAGACCCTAGAGAGAAGAAACACTCTGAAACAATTAGGTGTTTATTAATGAATTAAATCAATATTCCATGTGCAATTTCAAACTTTAGTGAAACTTATGGGTAACTAAACATTTATATCTTCTTTGTTATTCATTGTTAAAAAATAATGAAAATCAATATTAAATGAAAGAAATGTTTTTATTCTAAATACTATTTTAGTCCTGACAATAATCCTCTTAGGGGATAAATATTAATCCTCATTCATCTTACAATAGCAAAGGAAGCCCATGAGCTGGGGGACATGTCAGAGCAGCTATCTCTATCATCTAGTCCACACATTAAAAAAAAAGCCTCCCTACAATGGTCTCCACTGTAAATCCAATTCCAGTAAGTATCAACTAGCACAAATATATGATCACAATAAGAGGTGATAACTGACAGACGGCCTGACAGTGAGGAGGAAAAAAGGTCAAAAGAAAATGTACCAAAATAATCCTTCAAAATATATAGATGAATATTAATTAGAGCAAGTAGTAGCAACAGATTTAGAATAATAAAACAACTGATATTCATAACAGCAACCACTGAATCAGGTTTAAATTGTGCTTAGATAGTAGGAGGCACAAAATATCAAATGATTAAAATAAGGTTTTTTGATAACATTTATGCTTACTAAAAAAAATCTGTTAAGTAGAACATCTCTTAAATGATATCAAATACAAAGTTAATTTCTGTAATTTACACAGATCACCTCCAACACCAGATTTTGTAAAGGAAAAAGGTATGTGTGTGGAGAGATAATTCTAAAATCAAAACTGGTCACTTTCACTGGCTAAGACAATTGTCTATGTAAACAATCTTTTGGATAGTTTCAGTCAAGGGGAAACAGTTTACATCCTATTGGTACTTCAGCAAAATTATCCCTGGTAAAGTACAGTTACAAGAATCCAATTTCTTCAAGAATGGAAACATCAAAAACAACTTGCAAATAACAAAGGACATGGACAAGTTTGGAGACACAAAGTATAATCCATCAAACTCTCTATGTAACCTGAAACTTTTTAATAAACCTACTCTCAAAGACCACAGTGTCATGAACCTTTAATTCATTTCTTTAATTTGTTTTCTGCTTCATCCTATGAAGGAAGGCAATATGCTTATACTGCAGTTCCACTTCACTCTAAGGAAGTGAGAAGGATTGTTTCAAAGAAAATCTTGAAGGTCTGCAAAAAATTTTTCTCCTGTAATACGTGCTGTATGTGCTTAAATCAACTATGCTTAAAACTATGAAGTAGAAACAAACTTTGTATCATATAAAGTAATGTTTGAGTATAGTATATAAAGGCTGAGCAATTTACAGAAGTCTACTCAGTTATGCAACATGGAAACAATAGCTTCTGAGGCAATAACTAAAAACAATAGCTCCTGTAAAACTATAATTTATGCTGATTTTTAAAAAATGATAATCCTTTCCTACTAAAGAATCAGCCTTTTGTGAACATAAAATATTAAATAAGAGGAAAAAAAACCTTTTTGGCTAAAAATACTCATCACGTGGTTTTTTTTTTTGTTGTTTTGTTTTTTACGGTAGAATATTATTACTGTAGTAAATTTTAATAAAACAGCCTTCCACATCAAGAGACTTCTCAGATACATAAAGTACATATGAAAACAAAGGTTTCAACTATTTTTAAATGGAGGTATTTCTGAAATGTATTCCCCACTTTCAGATGATATACTAACCATGTGGGTTTTCTTGTTAACTGGTAACTATTTAGACTGTTTTGTTTGAGAAGGTCTGACTAGGTAGTGCTGACTGGCCTGGTTCTGGCTACGCAGACCAGACTGGCTTTGAACTCATTCTTTTAGCATTACCTCCCCTAAGTGCTGCTATTAAAAGCATGTGCCACCATATTTGGCTGATGATAGTATGAATACTACTTCACCTCTGGGATCATAGTGATCCTCTCAGATGTGTCATATGACAGACTTCTGAAAGGCTTAAGGTCTTTTCACTTTTTTGCATTTAGACAGGACTCAAGTTTTCTGATACTTCAGCCTGATCTCTTCAAAGTACTTCCAATATATATCACTCATAACAGCATGTAAAATGGCTACTATTAACTTGCTGAATCACTTACCATATTTTATAATATCTGTATCAATAAGTGTTAAGCACAAAGAAAGTGGTTTCATGAGAAAAGTTTATTTTATTTATTGATTTTTCTTTAATATTTGATACCTTCTCCTTTTACTTACCGGTATATAATTATGTTTCTGATATAACATAATCTGACTATAAATGCTAGTTAAGTAGATGTTATCTATTTATAATGAACAACATGGAACACTTTACCAAGTGAGAGCATATATATAATATGCTCATATATGTAACAGCCTCTTCGGAACAATGAAAAATTCAGGAAATTAATTGATACAATTATTGTTAAGACATATAGTAAAAAATTAATCTTAAAAGCCTACAGTCTGGTAATGGTTCTTTTAGGAGTCATCTTGGTAGGAATAGAAAGAATTTGAGGCCTGATAATATCTGTTTAATACTACATATAATTAAGTTTGTTGTTATGTAACAGGCTTCCACTAAAGATACATAATCAAGAGTACACAGTATCTTAAAAGCTACCAGTTAAAAACACCCAGCATATGGATAATATCTAAGACTATACCTGTTACAAACCAGGTGAAGAAAATTAATGTTCTTTCCCCAATACGATCTTCTGTATTAAAAATGAAAATTAGAACACATGGGAAAAGTGAAAGAAACATTGCTTCTATTCTTAATTGAAAATTTTCATGTTAGTTAGGAAAACAAGATTTTTAAAAACTTTGGGAAAAAAAGCAGGAATAAATTTTAATGCTGACAATAATAGATAGAACTTTTGGATAAACACCTACCGATTTTTTTCTACTGTTTTCCAGATCTTTGAGTTCATTCTCGATTTTTGTGATTAATTCCCTGAGTTCATCAAGATTAGTGCAAATAAGCTAAAACAAAACACAAAAACACAACTTGATAACACATAATATAAAACACCCAAAATGTGGTAACAGAAATTATTTAACATACACTGAAATCAAAACTATTTCTCCACAATAATAAAAGCAAGGAAAGTTCTACAGTTCATATCTAAGGTATTTACTTGTTATGATGTATGAACTTCGGGTTTCGTATAAACTAAGCTCAAGTTTCACATCGGCAGTGTCATATTATACCCCTACTTCTACGTTTGCATTATGATCCTGTTACTTTCTTAGTAGTACTAACTTTCAGCCCAGAATGACAAAGATCTGGAAACTCATTAGGTTTTATAGGTTACTGAATCAACTGTAAGAAATAACTCCACCAGGCAGTCTCCAAGCAAGTGAAATACAAGCCTGCAAGTGGCCATTATCCCTTTGCTTTAAGGTTTGCTACCTATATACCTTAACAAACTAAGTTACTGTTACTGGCAGCTGTACTACAGGAGGACTAAAATTGTATAATATATTCTAAGATAGGAACACAATTAAGTACATATTTTTGCCATGCTTTTCATAATTTTTACTGTTGTTGTTTTTTTTTTTCTTTTTGAGACAGGGTGTTACATGTAGCCCTGGCTTGTGATGATGTTCTTGCTCAGTCATCAAGTGCTAGATTTCAGATGCGTGTCACCTAGCCCAACTGAGCTTAACAGGTTTTAATAAAAACATTTTACAAGCAGTATATCTATTTCCTTCTATAACTGTGTGGCTCATTTGGTTAACACTGGCAAATGATCCAAATGATGAATTCTTACTTATTAACTGACCTATCCTGGCTTAACTAAAGTTTTATAAACTGAAGATTAAGAAATACTAGCAAAAATATTAGTTACTCCATATAGTTCCTGTAAAATTATATTGTGTTTGTCCAGTGAGTTTAATATATTTAACCATTTCCTAAAATCATTTAAGCAATTTCAGATCATCTATTTTTTAAAAAGTAACAGAAAATTCAAAAGCAACACTACATCTACACAAAAAGTTCCAGATCCAAGAAAATCTTGTGATGTTTATACTGTGATGTTTATAATTTAAAATATGCTATATATTTATAAATTATCACTAACCTTTACCAGTGTGCTTATTACATTCATTAATGTAAAGTTACTGTTTTCTTAAAAAGTACACATTCTTTCATTAGAAAATTAAAACAAAAATTAGAAAAAAGTATTTGTCTAATTTGAAAATTAGACAAAAGTATCAAGCAAAGTGGTCACAACAACATAACTGGTAGTGGTTATTAGTAATTAAAAACAGGAGATAAGAAGTGCTTTAAATTAGACTAAAACCTTAAGAAAATTTGATATACATTTTTCAGTAAAAAATGGCAAAATGGCCAGGCAGTGGTGGCGCACGCTTTTAAGCCCAGAAATTGGGAGGCAGAGGCAGGCGGATTTCTGAGTTCGAGGCTAGCCTGGTCTACAGAGTGAGTTCCAGGACAGCCAAGGCTACACAGAGAAACCCTGTCTCGAAAAAACCAAAACAAAAACAAAAAAAACAAAACCAAAAACAACCCCCCCAAAAAAATGGCAAAATGGTTCAACCTAAGAGATTAAGAAAAAATTATCACATATATTATACTATAATTAGTATCAACAATTACTTATTAAAATATCCGAAAAATTTCAAATTCATTGATAAAGCAGGGCAAGTAAATAGTTAAGTAATCCAAGTTAAACAATTTTAGGACTGGGGATGTGCTCAATGGTAGTGTACTTGCAAAACACAAAAACAAAAGCAACTTCAGAGTAGAAAATATTACACGATATTATCATAGAGTGTAACTGATAATTATTAGAAATCACATATTCTAATTTGCTCAATCTGGTTATGAAAGAAATGTTGATGGTCAAACAGGTCAACCAGGTAAGAACAGCTATAACTAGGTAACCTTTTCAGCTTCTAGTGTATCTATGAAGCCACAGACAACATCAGTTCTCCAGTGGATTTAATGAATACTCGCTCACTGGAGACAAACTTCTTTGCACTCCAGTTTGTTATCACTGCTATGTAGTATTTGTCCTTTTTCATTGAACTTGATGTTTTCGTTAATATCAGAGCATAGATTTTTTCACTTACCTATGGCAAAGCCCAGAGTAATTTTCCTTTTATTCTAGGTATCTCACTTAAAATGATTAAGAACATGTTTTATGTGTAGTTTGTAGAAATTACAGGAACAATGAAGGCATATACCCAACAAACTAAACACATCCTAAAAGTTTGAAAGATCTTTCAATTATTAGTTACTCATGACATCAAGTACTAATTATATTTTATCTACTATAAAATAGCTGAGGCCAAAGCATTAAAAGCTATATGAAATAATACCTCTAAGTGGCTTACCTAGTTAATAATCTGTGTTAAATCAACTCTTCTCAAATTTCAGTGTGCATACAATACAGGGGAACCTTGATAGTTTTGGATTTAGTATGTTTCACATCTGACAAGTTTATAGTTATAATCAGTAGACTGCACTTTTGAGTAGTCATGTAATTAATGACTGTGAATTATAAACCAACACAGCCACTGAGACATTGAAACATTCTGGTACTATGTAGCTAATGAGAATAAAAATTCACAATTAATTTCCAAATTTAGGGGGTGGGATATTTTTAGGATAATGTTCTTAAAGTAAATTACCTTATCTAAGTCCTAAGTGTATTTTTTTTTAAATTTGAGGATCAGAATATTTTTAGTGATATTTATCTTGAGGGTACATTAAAATAACTCAGTATGTATATAATAATTTACAATTGTTGTTGTGGAGATAGGATCTCACTACACAGTGCAAGATGCCCTCAAAATTATGCAGCCAAGGCTAGTCTCAGCCTTTCAAGTGCTGGGGTTACAGATATGTGCTATCACAACCAGGCCTGCTTTATACTCTTAATATGCAAATATTTTTATATAACTAATGTATGACTATCATACAATACACAAAATCATGCAAAGCTATTATAAAATTCTGGAGTAGTAACAATTTGATTTATGCCCATTGTATGTCACATATAACTCAATTCCTTCTTTTTTAAGAATTAAAGTCTTCAATTTCAAATGGTAATTCTATTAAAACTAGAATCAACAGAGTAAAAATTCATTTTAGTAGCGAGAACAAATACATTTAGTAAGAACAAAGAAAAGCATCTCAATAAATCCTTTTCTTGTTAATATTAATTTAGAAATTGTTTCTGAGACACAGGGCCTCCTGGGTGAAAAAGAAAGAAGCTGAGCTGCTGGGATTCCCACCAGGCCAGACCACACCCCTCTGGAGCCTGTCCTTCATACTCCAGAGGTTACTACTGCCCCTCCTTCCCAGGGAGAATCCAAGAGTGACAGGGTAGTGTTAAAGTAAGCTTTTTACTTGACTGAATCAAGGCTGAGCCTTAATCAACCAATTTACGGATGAAAGCAACTGAAATGATGTGACCTGGTTCCAGGCGTAGAGCAGGCTAGACAGGTGTATCGTCAATTGACCCATAAGAACCAGAAGCAACAGATGTGGAGTGACAGAGATGATGCACTGGTAGAAGAGACTGCAGAATTCTAAACTCCTTCTACTAGATCATATGCTCATGGCTCTTTCTAAACAAAATAAAAAATTTAAAAACTAGCAACAATTGGACACATAATTTTAGGATAAAATTCATAATGTATTATTTTCACTGACAGTATTAAAAGGCCATCTCTTCAACTAAAAAATTATATGTGAGTGTATGTATTAGGAAAAGGAAAAGTACTATTTAAGTAAAAGAATTTTATGACCATATCTCTCAGAGAATTACGAAGATTTCCTTATTATTTCAATCACTAAAATCATGCCATTTTGGTAGAGACACACTAGGTTTGAAAGATACTTCCAAATAAGGCAAAATAAAAAATGTAGGTCATATTTTAAAAAAAAAAGCAAAGGGGAAATCATGGTGAAAGGTAAAAATAATCATATTCAAACAAAATGGGCCATTCTCACTACAGTTCTAATAAAAGGTCCTACAAATATAAAATCCGTAACTATAACACCAACTATAGAATACAAATTAGAAATCCACATAGTATTGAAACAAAATTATATTAATAGTTGTTAAAACTATGCTAACAGGAAAATTACATATTTCTTATGGTCACTAAGCCACTACAACAGAGACAATAAATAACAACAAATATTCACTTAATGTGAAAACAAAATAATTCTGAACAAGTTAGCAAAATATTTAATACTATGTAATTAAACATGTTTTTCTAATGCCTTGTATTAAACAAAATTGAAAGGTTTTAAAGAGGTTAAAAAAATCTTGATTTATAAATTAAAAAACCTAAGTTGGAAATATGTAATTTAAGAAGTAGCAATTAAAATATGAGGAAATATGTAATTTAAGAAGTAGCAACTAAAATATGACTTAATATATAGATCTTTATAACATGGGAAAGTTAAAAACTGATTTCAATTTTAGTCTCAATTTGTTATATGAATATAACTTAACATTCATTAGAATGAATCACATTATAGATCAGATGCCAAGTACACACTCATTAAAAAAGTATTTTGTGTGTATTTGTATGTGGTGGGATTACCAATGAAAAGAAAAAACCATGGTAAGTAAGGACACTTAATTGTATGTCTGTTTAAGTGACTACCAAGTGTGTGAGTGCCTATGGAGGCCAGAAGGTGGCATAAGACCCCATGGAGCGGGAGCTACAAGCACTTGTGAGTCACATGACATGGGCACTACTAACAGAACTGTGTGTCTTCTGAAAGGACAGCAAGTGCTCTTAACTGCTGAGCCATTTCTCCAGTCCCTACTTATTAAAATTTTAAGAATTATTTTGACTATTTTTAATTGTGTCTATGTGTGTGCCTGTGCATGTTGAGTACAAGCGCCTACAGAGGTTGGAGACACTAGATCCTCTGACACTAAAGCTACAGGCAGGCAGTTGTGAGCAGTCCGATTTACGTGCTGAAACTGAACTCAGATCTTCTGAAAGAGCATACTCTTAACCAATGAACCATTTTTTCCAACTCCTCTTCAATTATTTTTAAAAATGTGGAATTTACTGGGACTTGACACATCAAATTAAAAAATACTTTCTAACTTAATTTAGCACAAAAAGAGAATTTATATACTATTACATTTCCCAATACTGTACAAAAAAAAGAGGCTCTTAGCGGCAATCAACTTTATTAGGAAAAAATGACATTTAGTTTTGAGTCTAAGTGTCTTTATATTACAAAATAAAAAAATCATAACAAATTTGATATAAAACTTAATCAATATTCTAATTATCTAAAATAAAAATGCTCTCTATTTTTCCAGTTACTGCTGATAAAAAAAATAAATCCTACAATTCTGCTGATATGCCATTATATATTAATCAAAATATTAGGGTACAGATGTTTAAGTTTTTCATTCTGTGGGTCAGATGTGTTATTTGGTTTTTCATTTAAAATTCTTACAGTTTCCATCATGTGCTACTTTAACAAGACCAGATTCAAGGCTTAATGTCCTAAGTAGCTGGAAAAATGCTAAAGTCAGCAATAGATGCTCTTAAGGAAAATCCTAATTAATTTTCCTACATAGAATACAGTATTTTTCAACAGAAGTCTCTATGCCTATTTGGAAAATAAAATGTAAGAACAGCTAGAACAGTACGCTCTAGCAATGTAATGGCTACTATCACTCCTCTGTGCAGATGAAGAACTGGACTTAGAGGGTCAATAACTTAGCTAAGGTGATAGAATAGTCAGGTGGTAGGCCTGGCATTCAAACTCAAACAGCCTAGTTCCAGAGTCCACATGTTTTAACTACTAGAACATTACTGATACCCACTACTCACTTAAGGTATTTGGAGGATAAAACCTATGAATCTTCACTTTAAAAGGCATCAGAATATATTATTTATATTTATATTATTAATATTTATAAACTTTAACAAGGAAGGGCATAGCTCGTAGGAAAAAGTAACACAGACTCTTATAGTTTCTTTACAATACACACACAAAATGAACCCAAAGTCATTATTACTTCAATGTCCCTGGTGCACATTCTAAACACAAATGTGAAGACATTTTCTGACTCCAAGTTTTATAGTATTCACATAAACATTAATTCTTATGAAGCAACTAAAGGAGGCAAATTTCTAGTGTTTAACAAGTCAATATAAACACAGTCAAGAAGTTAAGGTCAAAACAGGCTTCACTTTTTTAGATTATGAAGACTTAAAAAATTTAATCCTTTAACCTGTTTCTTTCTAAGCATGTTTTCTATCAGTCAAAGAACAGTCTTTGGTAAATAAAATAGGTCAGGTTTGATAAAAGCAATTGAATATTTATGCACTAAAGTTTTCTTTATTTTCAGTAATAAGAATGAGTATTTTAGTTTAGAATGACTATTTACATCTACAAAGCACTTTTATGTTCATTACTAACAGGACTTTTGGGAAGAAAAAATTCACTTCTTTATTAGATAATAACTGGCATTTTATGTATATGAGTATTTGCCTGCATGTATGTATGTATACCACACATGTACCTACTACCACCCTTTGAGGCTAGAAGGTGCTGAATTCCCAGGAACTGGAGTTAGAGATGGTTGTGAGCTACCATGTAGATACTGGGAACCAAGCTTTTAAGTCCTCTACAAGTACAGCAAAAGCTCTTGATAGCTGAGCCATTTCTCCAGCCTCTTTATCCCTATCTTAGAAGGCAGTTTCAAGTTCTCTTCATGAATTATAAAATAATATTCACACTGTAAACTACAAGTAAGAGCTACCTTAGCCTAATATAGATTCACACACACACACACACACACCCATCCCACAGTGCTCCCTCTATCCCCTCATGCCTTAAGAACAAGAAAAGGGATGACTATTTATTTTGAACAGCAGCTCAATTTAACAAAACATGTACTTTTGACCTTAAATTTCTGAGCAATAAGCAAATGGTCAACAACTGACTAGAAGTATCACTTACAACAATGTTTTCCAACATGTTTCCATGAGCCAGAGTCAAAAACACAATTTGCCATGCATGTCAACACACAGAAGCAAAAACCAAAGTTTCATAAAATAATACATATGACTATACATATTCATGGTATTATAAGTGACACACTAATTATGTGATATATTGACAAATTCTTTTTTAATTTTGATTAACTTAAAAAAGAAATGTAACCCACTGAGTTGATTTCATATATCATTAATAGCACCCATAACTGTACAAAGCATTACTTATGCAGTTTGTGTTATTATTACACACAAAGTCCACTTACAAAAATACCAAAATGAATTGACCACTCTGTCTTAAGCTCTATATAGTTCTATATTAAAAAATTGGGGAAGAAATGAGTGGGAGAAGTAACAAAGGCTAGCATGCTTACCAGTGGAAGCATAAAGATATAATAGTATACTATTAACATGTTACAAGAAATGAATGGCAGGATGGCCTCCAGTCACATTAATATATAATCCAGTAAATTGTATTTAACTGGAAATACTGTATAAAGGTTATGTAAAAAATTCTAAAGACTGTAATTCATCCTAATGTCATTAAAGTATTCGATGATAAAATATATATTTTCTTTTTACTATTTAAGGATATCTGATTTTTATCAATTTTAACTTCCCCTAAATAAGAATTTTATTTAAAATAGAAGTATAATACTGCTATACAGTATTTTTCTTGGCCTATATAATTTTATAACTACTTAAGACCTACAAATTTAATTATATCATTCTTATTTTATGAGCTTATAAAACTTTTAGAAATGGACTGGCTACAATAATACAAAAAATTTTAAACAAAGTATTATTTGTTAAAAGAACAATATTTGTATAAATAGAGAATAAAAGCATAATTGTGATGAGATTGCTTATTTTCAGCATTAGTACTTCACATATGGCAGCAAACACTATTTTTTTTTTTGCAGAAATGTTTAAAGACTATTATATTTAGCCTTTACTGAATAGAGTTCATTTATAGTTAAGAGTTAAAATACCTCTTTTTCAAGTTAGTCAGTCCACCATTTCTATACTGGTTAAACTACATAAGAATGGATTATCAGAGTAGCATCACTATGTATAAAACATGGTTTATTTTCTTAGAAGACTAATTTACATATCTGTTTATATGTACTCAGGAATATATGCAAATGGATATAAAGAAGACAGATATATGTATATACACTTGATTAAACTATATCTACAAAAGTTAGTATAGGTTGGAAACTAAAAATACCAAGGTTTATGAAAGATAAAGAGGTTTAAAATGTTAAAGAGGTTTAACATTTTGCCTACATCTGTACTTTACAGAAAAACTCATTGTTAGAAACAGTCATTAAAAGTATACACCTTGTAGTTTCTTGAAATTCAGCCATTCTCACAAGGAATGGAGCTAAAACAAAAAATTAAATGGAAAAACTTGGTGACAATATTGAAACATTTACCTGAAACTCCGGCACAGCAGGTGACTTTGTGACAGTTTTCCTCTTCTTTGTGATTGCTTTTTTAGATATGGATTTTTTTCCTTTCAAGATTAAAAGAGAAAAACTTCATAATGCTGTTTACAGCACCTTATTAACAGAAACCAACACAGAGCCTTGAAAGTTAAACTGTAACTACAGATGGCTGCTAGAAGTCAAATGAAAATGATGAATCAAACAAGCCTCAGTGAAAGCAAACAGTAAACTGTAACTACCTGTAACAGACACATTAACAATGCTGCATATTTATATAAGAACCAAAATGATTACATTTTTCAAGGTGATGCATAAACATTTGAGTTTATTAAAAGGAATAGGCATAAATGCCACAAACTACTGCTTAGTTAAAAATCTACATTCACAGCTTATGTAAGACTGCACAGAACAGAGCCTTACCTGAACAGTGACTTCTGCAGTTAGGAACCTGGTAACCATTTTATCTAAAGACTATGGACTACTTAACCAAAAGTGGACACCCCTTAGTGACATTAGTATGCCACCTCTTTAGCTCTGCACTTGTTTAATGGGCTGGTCTTGGCAGTATTTAATATCCAAACTTTAAGAAGTATAATTAGCATATCTCTTTAATGTGTAATTAGTACTTTGTGCACTCAGAAATCATGAGGAAAAATATACCTCATTCCTAAAGAATCCAATTTCTAGAATACATCTCAAGTATTTGTCTACTTCTTTGCACTTGACTTCACAAAGTAAAACACACACAGTTTTGAGAAGGTACATGTTAATTTTTTCCTTACTTTAATATTGAGGATCTCACACTGTAGCCAAGGCTGGCCTCATACATACAAGCTACTACAATCTTCTTGTATGTAATTATCAAGTAACAAATTTATTTAATTGTGGGATGGAGAAATGGCTCAGGGGTTTTATAAGCACTGGTTACTCTTCCAGAGGACCTGGGTTCCATTCCAGCAATGTCATATGATGGCCTATAACTCTATTTCCATGAGATCATTGTCTTCTTCATAGGCACTGCATGCACATGGTGTACAGACATACATCCAGGCAAAACATGCATACACATAACAAAAATGAAAAAATACTTATTAAATGTACAGCAAATGTTATATATAAGACACTAGTTTATGAGGACAATAAAGACATATCAAATGGAAACCTTGTCTTCTAGAAGTTTATGACCTTTAGGAGCATACAAATGTTTCTGCCTAATTTTTGCTGTATACTGGTTTTAAATTAAGGTCTTGTGCATGTTGGGCAACTGTTCTATCTCAGAGCAACATTTGCAGTCCTTCTCTGTGAAGGATTCTTTCCTTCACAATGTGGATTCTGAACACTGAACTCAATGATCAGACTTGGTAGCAAGTATCTTTAATTGATGTGATGACTCATTTCACCAGGCCCTGTAAATCTTACTTTTTAATCTTTTTTCCTTGTTTCTTCTTCATAGCTTTTGTTATTTCCTATGTTCCCTGCTATTAATTTTTTTCATTAAGTCCACTAATATAACACCTATCAGGGGGTATCATAACTAAATTTCTGATAATACAAATTATATAATCTTGATAATACAATGCATAGCTTGTATTAAAGGAGGCAAGTTATTTCTTAGTGGTCCTGCTCATCCACTCGAGTCCATTTTGCATTAAAGACCACCCTGAAATTACTATGAGAAATTAATTGGTTTTTTTCAGCTCTGGGAAATTGAACCCAAGGGCACAATGCTTTTTTGAAACTGTCACTGAGTTAAATCCCCAGTCCTTCTTTATTTGGAGCTAGAGTCTTGGTAAATTGCACAGTTTGTTCTTGAACATGAGATCCTATGCCCCCAGCCTCTGTAGCATCTGGGATTATAGGTGGTCATGATCATTTCTGGTTTAATTTATACTATTTACCAAAGTTTAAAAATTATTTAACAGTGAACACAGGAGGACTTACATTTATAATGATTATAAGAGGACTAATATTTATTTGGAACCTACCATATATTTACTAAAAATGATTTTATATAACTTGTTTCTCAAAACAACTGTTTAAAGTAGGTAATAACCAATGTGTTACTAGAGATAACTAAAGATCAAAAGGACTAGTTAACTTACTCAAGTGCCAGGAAGTAAGCACCACACCTAGGGAGTCTAACTCCAAAGTCCAAGTTCCTTCCACTATGTAATTCTATTTCACAAAAATCAAGGCTACCATTTGTTGATTCCCACTATGAATCAAGTGATAGGCATGGTAGATTTTTTTAATTTGCTACTCTAGTTTATCTTGCTAGCCAAACAGCAAGTTAAATAATATATTAGCTCATTTTTACTAATGAGACGACAACAAACAGAACTCAATGGAGGATTCATAGCTACTATGTACTGGGACAGATATTAACTATACTTTCCTCGCTTCACAATTGTACTGTTTGATGATATAATACTGCTTTCCTTCAGACTTATGCAGGAATGAACTATGCTTCTGATTGACCTCAGAGTAATCTTTTTTAAAAATCAAGATTAAAAGATTTGTCCATTCACCATTGCTTAACACCTTGTGCAACCTCAAAAGATAGCCTGAATATTTGTTTCCCATTGTTTGCTAAAATTCAGGCATAAAATTAAACATTACTTTTTATATGAAGCATAGGTTAGTACAAAAACCACACAGCCATTATTTGTGTTTACTTGGAGAGGCTAGCAGTGAAATACAGACACCAGATCTATAACTGAAAAATGGTCCTTTTCTATCAGGCAAAAGATGTCCTCATTCATTGAGCAGACAGTTTTACAAAAACAAATAAACAACAGTGAGGGAGAAGGGCCACCTATCTGGCTTGACAGGTAAACTAAATCAACTTTGATGGGTGAAAGATGCCAGATTACCTCCATATTCCAGTTATTTGGTAATTTGTCTTTGTTTCATAACAAGGGTATAACTAACTGCTACCAGTGCAGCATTCTCATGGCTTGAAGATACTCAATGCTTTTACTCTCAAGACCCCAAATCACCTGATCCATAAAACCAAATATAATCTACACTTAAGATTGTGTGTGAATCAGAAATCAGTTTAAAATACAAGCAGAATTAAAAAAAATGATGCTTAGATTTGTGGTTAGAAAACATATAAGAATACCTTAATAATCCTAATAAAAAACTTTGTAACTAATGTTACAAGAGTATTATTCCTAATGAAGCTTTCTAAAACACCATGCTCAGAACAACTTAAGAAACTTATACTTTACCTAAAAGAAAGTTGTAACTAAAAAACATATTATCCTCTAAATGAAGCATAAATGACTTGTCCTTTATAATCTAGAACCAGAAATTTAATTCTCCTTTCTTTCATTCTATTCCTTATCTTTCTTCCCATCCTTCACTGTTTTTCCATGTCTTTATCCCTAAGGCCACTGATCTACTCAAGGACTTTTAACAATTCTTTTGTGGGTCTAACCTTTTCATGGTTTAAAATAACTCTCGTTTTTTTTTTTTTTCCAGTTTATGAACATTACTAAGTAGATAGGTAAAAGGCATAAACTACTGTTAAATAAAAAAAAACAAAAACAAACAAACAAAAAACAAACCACAAGGACTTTGTATATGGGTGGTGCTTGGGATATCAAGCCACAGAAATGGAGTTTGTGTCTACATATGCATGTCTTAAGCTAATGTTTAATCTGCACAAGTTCCTGGACTGCTGTAAGTAAACAATTTGATCTTAGCTACTGATTTTCATATTATTCTCCTTGCTAATAAAAAAATCTTGTCATAATGGCAATTCTTTTACCTAATCACACAATATGACAATTAAATATCCAATTATTTTTCTCTTTAACTTAGTGTTACATGGTAGTTCTCAGGAAAAAATAGAAGGAACTGAAAAATAAAAAATAAAAATTAGATGCCAAGTTCTTTTTTTTTTAAAAGTTGGTTTATTTGTTTTTTTAAAAGTTTATTTATTTATATGAGTACACTGTAGCTGTCAACAGACACACCAGAAGAGAGCATCGGATCCCATTACAGATGGCTGTGAGCCACCAAGTGGTTGCTGGGAATTGAACTCAGGACCTGTGGAAGAGCAGTCATTGCTCACAACCACGGAGCCATCTCTCCAGCACCCAAGTTGGTTTATTTGTAAAGAATCTTTTTTTTCTTAGCAGTTTTTTTTTTCTGTTTTTCGATTTTTTTTGTTTTTCAAGACAGGGTTTCTCTGTGTAGTCCTGGCTGTCCTGGAACTCGCTCAGAGACCAGGTTGGCCTCGAACTCAGAAATCTGCCTGCCTCTGCCTCCCAAGTGCTGGGATTAAAGGCGTGCGCCACCACAGCCTGGCTTTAGATGCCAAGTTCTACTACTTACTTTCTGTACACCCTCCGTCCCTCCCTCCCTCTCTGTCTCTCTCTGTGTCTCTCCCTCCCTCCCTCCCTCCCTCCCTCTCTCTCTCTCTCTCTCTCTCTCCCCCCCCCACCCCCTCCACCCCCCCCTCTCTCTCTCTCTCTCTCTCTCTTTCTCTCTCGTCTTATTTTATATGTTTGAGTAACTGTCGCAGTCAGATCCTATTACAGATGGTTGTGAGCCACCATGTGGCTGCTGGGAATTGAACTCAAAACCTCTGGCAGAGCAGTCAGTGCTCTTAACTGCTGAGCCATCTCTCCAGCTCATGTACACCTACCTCTCTTAAGAGGATATTTTTTCTGACAGTGTAATTGAAAAGGTACATGGCATTGTTTATTTGTATTTAAGTTTCTCCTCACAGTCATCTTCTAGCTCTTTACTCTACCAGCTTCTTTTCATGCCTATTTAATGGTACCCTAATTATCTTTTCAGATTTTTTTTCTCTGAATCCTGCCATTTGTTAGCTGTGTAACACTGGGCAAGTAAAAGACCTTGCTGTTCCTCATTTTAAAGAATCTCTATAAAATCTTGGGGCTGGAGAGATGACTCAGCAGTTAAGACCACTTGCTACTCTTGTGGAGGAGCAGGGTTGAATTCTTAGCACCCACATATTAGCTCCAATCATCTCGAACTCCAGTGTCAGTGGATCTAACACCTCTTCTGGCTTTCTCCAGCACAGGTACTCATG